GAGAAGCAGCAATTTTAAATGCAATTTCGCTGCTATCTACCGGATGATGAGAACCATCTACTAGAGTTACTTGAACATCTATAACAGCAGCATTTGCAAGTAAGCCGCGCTGCAGCTGCTCTCTTACCCCCTCCTCAACAGCTGGGATAAACTGCTGAGGCACTACACCTCCTTTACTTGCATCAATAAACTCAATCCCGCTTCCTCGAGGTAAAGGGGCTATCTGCAGCCAGACCTCGCCATACTGCCCTCTGCCTCCAGACTGCTTTACATATCGGCCTTTTGCTGTTGCTGTTGCAGCAACTGTTTCTTTATATGCTACCTGAGGGGCCCCCGTCTTTGCTACTATTCCTTGTTCTCGTTTTAGTCTATCTATTGTTATATCCAGGTGAAGCTCTCCCATACCCGTGAGAAGAATCTGTTTGGTTTCGGGGTGTACAGACACCTGAAGAGAGGGGTCTTCTCTTGCATATTTATGCAGAGCACGTAGCAATCTATCAGTTTCTTGTTTATTATTTCCTTCAAGTGCAACGCTTAGAGCAGGCGTAGGGGGTTTAATACTCTCTAATAGAAGTGGGAGCTCTTCTCTTGTTAATGTATCGCCTGTAATAAAACTCTTAGGCCCTAGGACAGCACCTATTTCGCCTGCTTGTAATTGCTGCACATCTCTTCTTGAGTTTGAGTGTATCAACACAAGCCTCTGAAGACGCTCTTTACTTCCTGTTCGAGGATTATAAACAACATCTCCGGTCTTCATTCTTCCTGAATACACCCGAACAAAAGTCTGAGAGCCTAAAAATGCATCGCTGCTAATTTTAAAAGCAAGAGCAGCCAAAGGCCCATCTCCATCAGACCGCAACTCCACACACTCAGCACCGCCATCATCTTTGCTGCTGCTGCTGCTGCTGCTGGTAGTAGTAGTAGAGTTGCGGCTGTGTTTGTTAGTGGGTTTCATTGCCTGCACTGGGGGTAAGTCCAAGGGGGAAGGTAAGAAATGAATAACAGCATCTAAGAGAGGCTGTACGCCTTTGTTTTTTAAAGAGCTTCCACATAAGACAGGAACGAGAGCAGAATTAATAGTTAGCGAGCGAATGCCGAGCAGTATGTCTTCAGGTGTCAGTACACCTTCATCTATATATTTTTCTAATAGAGACTCAGAGGCCTCTGCAGCTCGAGCCATCAATTCACCCCTCCACCTCTCCACCTCTTCTTGCATATACTGCGGCACAGGCTGCTCTACGAAGGCGATCCCCATGGGATCGTCTTCTTCTTCTCCCTGCTGCTGCTGCTGCTGCTGCTGCTGCTGCTTCGCTCTCTTGCCTGGCCAAACTAAAGCCCTGTTATGTACTAAGTCCACAACACCCTGGAAGCCCGCCTCTGCGCCTATGGGGAGTTGAATAGGGATTGGGTCTCCCCCGAGTTTATCTTTGATCTGCTGCATGCATCTAAAGAAATCGGCTCCTAATCTATCCATCTTGTTTATGTATGCAAGACGAGGGACTCCGTGCCTATCTCCTTGCCTCCACACAGCTTCACTCTGGGGCTCTACACCAGCAACACCATCAAAGACTGCAACAGCACCATCTAAGACACGTAGAGATCTCTCAACTTCAACACTAAAATCAACATGCCCTGGGGTGTCTATAATATTAATACGGTGTATATCGAGATTATTAAAAGACCCTCTCCATAGACATGTTGTTGCTGCAGCTGTTATTGTTATTCCTCTCTCTCTTTCTTGATCCATCCAATCCATTGCTGCCTCTCCATCGTGCACTTCACCTATTTTATGAGAAACTCCAGTAAAAAATAATATTCTTTCTGTTGTTGTCGTCTTACCAGCATCAATGTGCGCCATTATACCGATATTACGAAATCGTTTCAAAGGTATATCACCAAAGCCATCTATGCCTCCACCAGAAGAAGAAACAGCAAAGTGCTGCTGCTGCTGCTGCTGCTGCTTCTGGAAGGGCCTGCATCTGTGTGTGCATGCAGGTGAAGATAAAAAAATAGACCTCTTACTGGAGGCTCCTCTGCAACCATCAACAGGAATGCTGTTGATGCGCTTCATAACGCCACGGAAACGAGGAGATAGAGGGATATGCAAAGAAACATTCTCTAGGGGCTGATGGCGACCTACGGTGAAGGCGTAGGAGTACCGAATCCATTGACAACAACATAAAAACAACAAACTAAATAGCATGCAAACAGCCCGTATAGGGACTCGCCTAGAGCCCCTATAAGGCGCAATCAACCCACTAGGAACTGATGCTGCAACAATTATGATATTATGCACAAGACCAAGAACCGAAGAAGGCAGCAGCCACGCCAGCTTCAACCACCATCGTTGGGGGCCCCCTATGGGGCCCTTTTGTCTTTGCGCTATCCTCATCGCTGGGAACTTGAGGAGTTCTTCAGTGAACACGATGATAGGAAAGACATCTTCGGGGAACTTGTACGAAACCTGTAACTCTTTGGGGGTTACTGTATGGATTGGGGTTTGAGGAGTATAGTGGGTCTTAGGGTGAAGAAGGGTTCAGCCGGCAGCCAATGACGGTGGAAACCTCCAACTTCCTCTCCTTGTGGAAATCATAGAGAGGCTTAAATGAAGAAATATAATTAATTATTTATACGCATGAAGCGCTGTTGTGCTCCTGAAGTCCGGTGAGTCCAGAGGGCTGCGGGGCCCCCCTCCACTGCTATGCAAGAGAACGGCGGCGACCCGCTGCCGACTTGTTGTTGGCTAGGAGTGAATATAAACACATAAAGTATAAAATAAAATAAAGGAAACGAAGTTTTAATATTCTTATTTAGAATTTCTTCGCAAATAGAATGTGGTACTGCCGCCAGCCTAAGCATCAGTTTCAGGTCGAGTTTCTGTGTTGAGTTGGTGAGATCGGGCGGCGGAGGCGACGACGTACTTCTCTGCCTAAATAATAAAAAGGATTTAAAAATAATTCAAAAAAGAGTATAATAAAAGTATATTTCAAATAGTATATGATGAAGACAGACCGTATTATTCCGGCTTGTGAGAGCCAGCAGTTCTGATTTCTTCGCTGTGAGTCTTGCATGAAGGACAGCGAGTGAATCGCGCAGCCGCACGACGTACTAATTGTTATTTTTAAATTAATTTAATTAATTAAATGGATAAAAATGGCTTACATCTTTTGCTTCTGACGCCTGCTGCTCCGCAATTGCATGTCTGTTCCGTTTCATTCAAGTATTTCCGTAGCATTGGGGGACGAAAGTGAAGGATTTTTATACCTTTTCTGTTCATATTGCACTTTTTTAGATAAATTTAAGTATTCCACCTTCGCCCTTTCGGTATCATTTGGTCCATGGTAATTAAACTGCATTTTCGCACGTTTTTTCAGCTGCCGTTCAACGTGGGTGACAGCTTCAAGATCTGCTTAGCATGAGGTTAAGAGAGGGGAATGCTGAACTTTCTTGCGTATTTCTCTCAGCTCACGAGTTTGCAGTGCATCATTTGATTGAATTCTTTCGCTTTCTTCGTTGATTTCCTCCCGCAAATAAGCAGATGCAGATACGGCGCGCAGTCGGCTTTCTGCTTGTTCAAGCAGACGTTTCTGCTGCCCTACAGAGCCTCTTCTTGCAGCATTCGTCAGCACGTCGAGTATTTCAACGGATTCCCTGCCCCGTTTATTCATTTTCCTCAATTTTTAGATCAAATTGACTCCTTTCAAACCCTCAACAAGCATTCTTTGTTCTGGGTTTCTGCCCGGTGTGATGATGCACAGCCGCTGACACCCGCACACTATCCTTTCATCGCAGTGTCTGCAAAGACAAACAAGAAATGAAATATCTTATAGAGCAACCAGCGTCTTATGGCCTTCGTTATATTTGCTTTTAAAATCCCTTTTCTACTTCTTTAATGCCCAAATCCCCCTTCAACCAAAGGAAAACAACAATAAAAAATATGATTTCCAAGCACTTGAATATGTTGAAGTGCAACTCCCTCTCAGATCTGCCTGACTTCAATTGGTAAGCTGCAACTTAAAGTCCTTAGCGAAGGCTGTTAAGGGTTTTCTATCCTATTTATCCTGCTATGCCAGCAGTCAGGAGACAGAAGACCCTCCAAAGGCATTCATTCAAAGTAAAGAAGCCGCCTCAGGAGCATCTGCCCTGTATTTTCTGCGTCTGCTGAAGCCTTTAGGCAGCAGCAGAACCGCCTGCAAATCTCCTACTGCCTGGGAGGAATACGCATGAAGCGAAGCTCGTCGTGGGAGGAAGCAGGGAGAGATATACCTATTTATATATCTATCTGGCTATCTATTTGCCCGTCTATCTATCTATTTATATGTCTACCTACAAGTATATCTATCTATCTATTTAGATATATGAATATCTATTCGTAACCACTTGCCTCTGCTGTCTCTAAGCTCCAAAAGAACGCACACAGCAACAATTTAAATATCACTCCAGCTGCCCGTCAGCAGCTCGGCGTTTTAAATCAAAGGCCCCACAGCAACTGCAGCAACGGCCATCTACAACGAGACAGACGCTGCAGCTGCTGGAGACGTTGGTGCTTCAGCAGCAGCACCTGCTGCTGCTGCTGCCGCTCGAGAGAGAAAAAAAGAATTTGCTCTGTTTGAAATCGCCAGCCAAACCCTACGAAGGTCTAAATCTGCTGCAACCCTTGGGTTCTGCAGCCTCAAATGTCCCAGTAACTGCAGCAGCTGCAACAAGGGCCGCACCAGCAGCAGCAGCAGCTGCTGCTGCTGCTGTAGTAGTAGTAGTAGTAGCTGCAGCAGCGACAGGACCGTAGGCTTCACCACTTGAGGTCTGCGACTGTAAGGGCTGCTGACCCCTTTCCGCTTTTATCTGTTTTCTTTTTAGGTGTAAATTGCGTGCGCAGCCCCTCTGTAATTCTGGGGGCCAGCCAAATATGAATTGGCAGCGGCGTTGCTGCGGTGTCTGTACACAGCAGCTGCTGCAGCTTTTCTCGTACGCCTTTCTGCTGCAGCACATATTCGAATTCCCCCAGTGCAGCAGCAGCCTCCAGGCCGTTCTCCACGCCGTAGCAGCAGCTAAACAGAAACAGATATACAGGCAGCAGCAGCGGGTGCTCATGAGGAAGCACCAGAGGGAAGTCTCTATGCAGCAGCTGCGTAATGCTATGAAGAGGCTCTCGCTTCCTCCCCACCATCACTGGTTCTGCAGCAGCAGCAGAAGCACCTGCTGCTGTCGCCTGTTTCTGCTGCTGCTGCTGCTGCTGCAGTTGCTGCTGCTGTTCACCGGTGCGCATGCGACTCTTTCTGTCTGCAGCAGCTTCCTTTCCCTCCCCAGCAGCAGCAGCACCCAGCAGCAAGGCCCCTGGGGCCCCTCCTACAGCCAGTGGAGGTGCTGCTTCTTCTACTTTGTCTATCACCTGGCCGCCTCCGTTCAGACAGCCCCCTGGGCACGCCCCCATTTCAATAATGTGGGGAATGAGGCCTCCAATATCCTCAGGGCCCCCAGCCCCGCCCTCAAAGCGACCCCCTAACCTGCTGATGCTGCTGCTGCTGCCGCTGCTGCTGTTGCTGCTGCTGCGGATGCTGTTTTTGAGTGAAGGGTGGAGAGGATCTGCTTCGTCGCCTGCAGCAGCAGCAGCAGGAACCAGCTGCCGCAGCAGATGCACAACATTCTGAATATTACGAAACCCAAAAGCAAAGGCCCCCCGCAGCAGCGCGGGGCGGCTGTCGTTCCAGAGCCCCCGGCGTCTGCTGCTGCGCCCTCCCACGTCGATAGCCCTGTCCGCTGCAGCATCAGCAGCTGCAGCAGCAGCAGCAGGTGAAGAAGCAGAATGCGGAGGGAAGAGCGCGATTGCCTGCAGCTCCTCATTGGGCCCCTTAATGAATTCTGGAAGAGCAGCAGCAGCAGCAGCACCCCCAGCACCAGCAGAAGCAGCAGCAGCAGCAGCAAACTGCTGCTTGAAAACGCCCCTAGCAGTCTGAAGAAAAATGTACTCTAAGTACCCTCCGCTGCCGGCCAGCACAGCTGTGGGGCGCGAGATGGACGTACACCCCAACTGGGCGTCTTCGTGTGTACAGCAGTTATTAAAGCCGCCATCACCACATGACCTACAAGTAAAAGAAGAAGAAGATGAAGAAGAAGAAGAAGAAGAAGAAGAAGAAGAAGAAGAAAGGGAAGAAGATAATAACAAATTCGCTGCAGCAATTGACGCACGAGACGCCATCCTCAGTTTGAGGTCTGCTTGTGCAGATTCATTTGCTGCTGCAGTTGCAGCAGCAGCAGCAGCAGCAGCAGGAGCAGGAGCGCCACCCCGTCCAGTGCTCGTTGCTGCTGCCGCCGCTTCTTCGTCTGCTGCTGCTGTTGCTGCTGCTGCTGCTTGATGCAGACTGTGTGCTGCCAGTTTCAATGCGTTTTGCTGCAGCAGACAGTCTAAAGGCGCAGCCCCCAGAGAGCCGAAGGACTGCCCCACAGCCTGCAGCAGCAGCGGCAGCTCTGCAGTTGTTAAGACGATATCTACCTCGCTCCACGTACCTCCACCAACACCAAAAGCAAACCTTGAAGCACATAAAGAAGATTCATGCTGCTGCTGCTGCTGCTGCTGCTGCTGCTGCTGCTGCTGCTTCTTGTTGTGCTCGAAGTCTGGACGAGCTGCCTCTAACTTTTTGTCGTAGCACGGCATCAAGCAAATGTGTAGGATGTCCTCAGGGCCTAAACCCATACGCTGTCTGCTGCTGGGTGCTGCTGCTGCTGCTGCTGCTGATTCTTTCGCTGCAGCAGCTCCTCCTTCAGGCGCAGCAGTCTCTCCAGTTGCTCCTGGTGCTGCTGTTTCTGGTGGTCTTGCTGCTGCTGCTGCTTGCGCTTCTGCTGTTGATGGTGGTGGTGCTGCTGTTGTTGCTGCTGCTGCGGCTGCTGCAGCAGCAGCGTCTTCTGCGTAGCACCCATAAGGCGACCGCCGCAGCAGCAAACGCAGGAGGCTCCATGGAGGCGATCCCTTCCTCTCTCTGCTGCGTGCATTGCCCGCTGCAGCAGCAGCACCTGCAGCAGCCCCTGCAGCAGCAGCACCGTCTACAGCAGCCCCTGCAGCAGCATCAGCAGCCCCCGGAGCAGCAGCATCAGCAGCTCCTGGAGCAGCAGCAGCAGCAGCCCCTTTAGCAGCAGCAGCAGCAGCATTTGGGGGCCATGCATGAGCTTTAACAGCCAATAGGAACGAGGCAGCATCAGCAGCAGTTCTTAGTGCTGCCTTGCAGAGAAGACCCTGGAGCTGCTGCGGGCTACGAATACGAGAAAGAAAACAAAGAAGAGAGGCTGCTAAACTTTTTTCTGCATACAGCACAACACCAGGACAAAACGAAGTTAGCAGTGGTAAGGGGCCTGCAGAGGGCAACACAGCATTCAACAATGACTCCTGACTACTCCCCACACAGCATGCTGCTGCTGCTGCTGCTGCTGATGCTGCTGCTGCTGCTGCTGCTGATGATGATGATTCTGCTGCTGCTGTTGCTGTGGCTGTGGCTTCTTTGGCCGGTTTTGCTGCAGCAGCACGATGCCCCTGCTGCTCCTGCTGCTGCTGCTGCTGCTGCTGCTGCTGCTGTCTGCTCAGGATTTGCTGCTGGTGCTGTCGCAGCCTCCCTACGAATTCCTTTTGCGTCTCCAGCAGCACCACCGCCTCTGCTGCAGACATAGAAAAGACGAAGTCAGCGCCCAGACAGCGGAAGAGATAAGAAAGACGTGCAGCAGCAGCAGCAGCAGAACATCTGAAGTGATGCGCAACTGCAGCAACAGACTGGCTGCTTAGAGACACCGCAACCAGACAAGGCCCCGTATTTTCAGGTGTATGTACACCCCAAATGCGTTTACTAGATAATAAAGCAAACAGCTTATCAGTAGAGTGATGACTCAGTAGAATCCCCTCAGAAGAAGTTAAACAGCCGCTGCAACTCAGACAGTCAGAGAGAGATATCTTCCCGACACGCGTCATGCCTCCATTAGCTGCTGCTGCTGTTGGTTTTGCTGCTTCTGCTGCTGCTGCTGCTGTTGCATTTGGTGCTGCTGCTTCTGCTGCTGTTGTTGCTGCTTCTGGGGCTCTCTCTTGCGCCGCTGGATCGACGGATGCGGCTGCTGTTTGCTGCTGCGTATTATCGGGCGACTGTGCAGCAGCTGCAGCAGCTTCTGCTGCAGCAGCTGCTGCAGTTGCAGCAGTTGCTTTTCCTGCTGCTGTTGCATTTGCTGCTGCTGCTGGTGCTGCAGCGGGCTGAGACTTTTCTGCTGCTTGCTGCTGCTGGGCCCTCCGGCGCCTCGCAGCTGCCCCCGTCCTCGGGCGGGCGCCAACGACAGCATCAGCAGCATCAGCAGCACCTGCTGCTGCTACTGCTGCTGCTGCATTGTTTGTTTGTTCTGCTGCTGGAGTTGCATGCAGCAGAGGCAATACGCACTCTTGTGCGGGGCTTAGATAGTCATCTAGAGCCCCCAGACGTACAGCGCTGCTGAAGGGCTCCGACATGAAGAAGCAGCAGCAAAGAAATATGTGAGGGTTAAGAAGAAGGAAATATATTAATCAGAGAAGAAGAGCAGCAAATTGCACAGACACAGACAGATAATGCAGATATATAAGAAACGCTTTTAAAGGTATTATTTACAATCTTAGGGGGGAAAACAGAAAAAATAAACAACGAAAGCTATTGACGTTTTCTTCTTAGGGGAATGTCTGTAGACAGAAGAAGTGCTTTTAAAGCCAATTAATGCATCTATTCACGTAAACAATGCAATAAACAAACAAACAAAAGAAATTTAAACAAAGAAGGCGAGGAAATTATACAAAAATGCAGCTGCGCAGTAATGCTCTCTCGCAGGCTCTGCAATATAACTACATCATAAGTACACCAAAATAATGTAATTGTCGTGATTTTTAAAGTTTGATAAACTAAAATATCTAATAAATTCTTTTTTTCCTTCCTTGCAGGAAAAATAATACCTTTATGCGGGGGGGCCCGCCTAGGATTGCGCCGCTGCGATAGGGGGCCCCAGTCAGAGGAGTTTGGGGTGTATGTGCAGCTTGTGCAGAGTTGTCTGTGTGTTAATGTTTAATATTTATTGTTAATTTCTCTTGAAATTCATTTACTTTTACTTAAGTTTCTAGAGTTAAGATCAGCGGCTCCTCTTTGAACCCCTCTGCACTCAACAGGCAGTCTACTGCTGCTGCTGCTGCTGCTGCTGCTGCTGCTGACTTTTGTTTATTTGCTGCGTTCTCCTGATGGCGATAAGGTAAATTGAAAGTTTTTTCTCTTCTTTATTCTTTATTTGTTGCATCTGAGGCCCTACCTTCTCGGGTGTCTGCACGTACACCCCACTCCCTTTCTCCTGGCAGCTGCTGCAGCCACACTATGCAAGCAGCGCAGCAGCAGCACAAAGCCTTCTGCGCAGATACAGCTGAAGAAGCAGCGGCCTTAGAGATGTCCGGGCGCATGCAAAGCGAATATAATCTGTACAGAAAGTTTGCTGTTTATTATTGTATGTGTGGAAGACCAGTGGTCACGAGCTTATACAGGTGTTTATCCCTTACTGCTGCGGCTGCTGCTCCTGCTGCTGCTGCTGCTGCTGCTGCTGCTGTTTGCTGCGTCTTTAGATCCCTCGCTGACTTGCGGGAGACGCAAGACGAGCCGCATGATGACAGCAGCGGCACTTCTTCATTTGCAGGCGGAGAGAGATCTGGCTTAGCAATTCAAAACCCTTCAGCAGCATTCCCCAGTGCAACGTCAGTCTCTCTCTTTATTTATCTCCTCATTTATCTGTTTATTTATTTGTTTATTTGTTTGTTTGTTGGTTTGTTTGTTGGTTTGTTCGTTTATTTCTATGTCTGTCTTCGTCTCTTTCTTTCCTTCTCTCTGCTTTTTGCTCTGTCTCTGTCTCACTCTCTCTCTCTCTCTCTCTCTCTCTCTCTCTCTCTCTTTCTATGTATATTTGTATATATATATATATATGCATTTGTCTGTCTGTATGTCTGTCTGTCTGCGTTTCTCTCTGTCTTTGTTTTTTTTTCTTTGTCTGTCTTCTGGCGTTTATATTTATTAATGACACCGCTGATATTTTATTTTATTTTATTTTGAGTGTCTTCGTTTTGTGTATTTGTTTGTTTGTGTTTAATTTCTTTCATTACTTTTTATGTTTTTTTGTTTAGGGTTTAAAAACAAACTGTATTTGTTTCTCCTACTCTCTTTAACTCTTCTTTTATTTCTTCTCACTGTCTCCTCGTCTAATGCCTGTTATTTATTTAATTTATTATTATTATTATTAATATTATTATTTATTAATTTGTTTATTTTATTCTTTTTGTTAGACTGCAGCAAGTACCCGTAGAATCTGTTAAATATTTCTTGAATATATGTGAATAGAATGTATTACTATTATTAATTTTATTATTAACATCTGATTAATATATTAATATATTAATATATATATTCTTTTATGCTGCAGCAGAGGCGCCGCACCTGCAGGGTCTCGCCGTGTAACATTATATGCAAATGGCTTTACAGTTGATGACGGACCTTTCAGAGAATTCGGCAGGAGAGAAAACGATGTTTTTATTGAAGAGCTCAAAGCAGGGTAATTAATTATTCTATTTCTTTAGTTTGTTCTTATTACTTTTCTTATTATGTACATTATTTACTATTTTTTACTATATTTATTATTACTATTATTATTATTATTAAGTATTACTGTTATTATTATTATTATTAAGTATTACTGACTATTACTATTATTATTATATTGAGCTCAAGTTTTTACGTGCATTATTTTCTATTATTTATTATATTCTTTACGATTATCTTTATTATTATTATTATTGCTTTATTAATTTATTATTATTATTATTTATTATTTATTATTTATTATTATTATATTGCTTAACTTTTTTGTTATTCTTTTGCAGCGTAGCACCCAAAGAATTACAGCAAGGCGGTCGTCAGGTACACGTTTTGTTAGACGATCGCCACGAAGAGAAATACACCCCGCCTCCTCCTCCTCAGGTGTATATAACATAAATATAATATAAATATAATATAAATATAATATATATATAATATATAATATATATATTATATATAATATGTGTAGAATATATAGAATAGATAATATATATTTTTTATGTTTTATATATGTGTAATATATAATATAATGTGTTGTATATTTTATGTATTGTGTATAATATATGTTGTACATAATATATAATGTATAATATATTAAATGTAGAATATATTATATATATTGTATATATTACATAATATTTAGAATATATTACAATACATATATATATGTAATATATAAAATGTACCGTACATATATAAATATATATATATATATATTATGAAGCGTGATAGAATTGAAGCAATAGGAATTAAGTATTCATAATAAATAATAATAACTATAATTATTGTTCTTTTTTTATTGTTGTTGGTGTTATGTTGTAATAAATAATAAATAATAATTGCAATACACTCATTTTATCTTCACCCTCAAACTTAGTTCTTTCTAACCTGCATGCGTTTGCTGCTGCTGCTGCTGCTGTTGCTGCTGCTGCTGGTTTTGCAGTATGTGCTGTTTGGGGGGGAAGGGCAGAGTCTGTCTGGGGATCGGCCGTCTCCCAGCGGCGCAGCAGCAGCAGCTTCATCTGCTGCAGCAGTTGATATATCTCGTGCAGCAGAAGCAGCAGCAGCAACAGCAGCAGCAGCAGCAGGAGATCCCTCTGTGCAGCAAACTCAAATATTATTTCGCTTCCATGATGGCCAGCGCGTAGCTCAGCACTTCCCCGTCTCCACAACTGTGCAGCAACTTCTTGACTTCGTTCAAACGTAAAACAAATAAACCCTTATATATTTGTATATATATATATATATATCAGTACTCCTATTTGTATCTATATCTGTTTCTCTATCTCAGCTGCTATATATAATATATGTATATTTATATTTATATAGCAGCTGCTGCAGCTGCTGCAGCTGTAGCAGGCGTTGTTATTTGTGCGTTATGGTTTGACTCTTCTCTTTGTGGATTGCAATAAAATAAATAAAATTATATTATTAATATAGTAAATATAAATGAAGTATTAATTTAAGTACATTCATTCAAATATATATATATATATATTTATATTTATATTTATTTATTTATTTTATATTGGGTATACAATTGTATATATATACAATATATATATATAGTATAAAGAGTAAAATAAATGAAGATAGAGCTGCATGCAAATTATTTTTTGTGTTTGTTTGTTTGCTGTACAGAGTGGCCCCTGCCCCTGGAGGATTTATTCTTTTAGAGGGCTTTCCTCCTAAGCCTTTATCTGCAGCAGGAAATATTTCTATAAAAGATGCAGGTCTATTAAATGCAACATTATCTCAAAAGTTAAAGTGATGCAAAAGTTAAAGTGAGGCTCTTAGACTCTTGGTTGGGTCGCGCGGCTTCCTCGGGTGTATGTACAGGTATATATATATATATATATATATATATATATGTTTCTTGAGGTG